GGACGTCAAATCCAACGGGATGCCATAAATAAACGACACAGAATCACACTACACACCTACGCAATGATTACATTCAGGCAGACTTTAGAATACAACCTCTTTGGACCATTTATGTACTTATTGAAAACAAGCTACAAAATGTAAAACCTTGGAAAATGCCGTTTAATACTTTTTAATAGCCTTCATTTTCACTAAATTCATTTATCAACTTTGAATACTTTCTAAGACCCTGCGGACCCCCTGGCATTAGACCGGCTCTGAAGGAACTCAGCTGGCAGTTTGGGAACAAACACAGCCGCCGCCCAATCACACGGAAACATAGATAATGCAATAAAGCAGTGCTCTTATATCTTGTCCTACACCACATTAGAAACACGTGATCTGTTTAGAGGAAATATTGTGGCGTATTGTTACGATAAATGAATACAAACAAAAAAGGTAAAATCCCTTACTTGGATTAAAAACATTTGTGTATTGCTGTGGGAGGAAGTAAACAAACAAATGGAGAGGAACACACACAATAAGATTAAAGAAAGTCACAATTCAGACAGTAACGAAAGCCTTTGACTCCACAACAGCAACAATGGTTTGACATAAGCCCCAAACTGACAGCAGAACAGTGTTTGCATCCGTTTCTTTGCAGGAGTCAGTGAACGCCATGCACTTGTGGGTGCTATGAATGTATACATCTTTGAACACCATAAAAGAGTCTAGCCGAGCAGTGCAGGGAGAGAGAGAGAGAGAGAGAGAGAGGATGACACAGGGTGGAGTGCTGCATCAATCTGGATGCTGCTTCATCTCTTTGGTGCTACAACCCGTCAGGAGGAAGTTACATCTTATTTGTCCTTTCACTATTACACTAGAGGGTTGCGGATGAATGAGAAGAAATGCTGCATCATGTAGAGAAGGGGATACAGAGAGAGATGGAGGACTGTAGATGAGCAGGGAGCTGATGTGTTTGCCTCCAGCAGGTAAAACCCTGGCTCCACTTTCCCTCTGCAGCGAGAATCACTTCGTGCAGCGCTTTAAACTCAGCAGCGCTTTATAGCTGCTTTAAACCAGACTCCCCTTTGTTACTGCGGTGTGGCTTCACCTCCATTGAACTCACACCAGATGAAAGTGAAACCCCTCTGCAGCACTCCTCATTTGAATGTGTGTGTGTGTGTGTGTGTGTGTGTGTGTGTGTGTGTGGCGAGTTGCAGAACAGCTGCCTCTTTCCCTTCGACCCAGAACTATAAAATGCAGTTTCCCCTTCACAGCAGTGGGATGTTAGCGGTCCCTGAGAGAGTCTTATATGAACTATTCCACTCCAAATGATGATGGGAATAATCCTTGTGAGCAGGGATCGAGCTATAAACTGAGCTCTATGGGGGTCTTTAAAACTAACGCGTGCGCGCGTGCATAATGTATTGCGCACCTTGGAGGTGCAGACTCCAAGTCTCATTAAACATGCTGGAGCTGAGTTCTGCAACTTTCTTCGGAAGCACTTCTTTTAGTTTGAGCTCCGCTATTTCAACAGCTCGTTTATGAGCAATAGAGTCGCGGTGTATGTAAAACAAATCCGCAACTGCTTCTGCACAGGGCTACTCACAGTCCCATTGGTCCAGGCATCCACCAAATGCGTTCCATATTTTTTCTCCGAAAGTAATAGAGTCTTGGCTTCCTTACAGACGAGGCATCCAAGACCACCCTCCTTTGAAAACAGCCAGGGGTTTCTTTCTTTCCAGGATCTCCACTGATTGTGTCCCCAGTTAAGAGTCCTTCTGTAGCAGTACCTCCTGCCTCCTCATGCCGCTCCGCTTCGGAACTTTCTACGTGTGTGCAGCTGGTCCCACATTCAACAGCATCAGGTCCGCTAGCAAAGACAGCATCCTCCGTAGCAGCAAGGTTAGTGCTAGCTGTCACGCTAGCAGGTACATTTTGGTTGTCAAAAGCTGTTTTTTGTTTCTTTGTGAGAAAACCAAAACATCTTGTAGACCCAGTCGGCGGCAGTGGCCTTTTTTTGGGCGGCATGGTAATCGTCTGCTAGCCTACGGTACTCGTAGTATGTATGTGTGTATCTTGTAAATATATTTAAATGTCTGTTGATATAACGGTTCATTCTTCGGGCGCGCGCAGCACGTTCACAGCCTCACAGGCATAGAATGCGCAATATTTTATTGCGCACCTTAGAGGTGAAGTGCATATTGTCATTCAAGAGAGAATACGATGCGTAGTTCTTTTGGAAAACATTGTTTTGTTTGCCTATTTACCTCGTTAACGTAAATAATACTCATTACATTGAAAAATGCATTATTTGTGATCAAAATAATGGTTGTTGGTAATGTATATTAGCGACCCCCACAGATGTTTGATTTCACTGGGTCCGGTGGGAGCTCAGGCCCCTCCTTATGGGAGCTCAGCTCCCATTGGCTCCCACGTAACTCGAACCCTGCTTGTGAGTGAACATCATACTTCTGCTAGAGTACTGAGAAAGAAACGTGAGTGAGTTTACTCTCCTCACTCCTTCATATACTGTGTATAGAGTTTGTCTCCGCACTCTGTCACAGGCTAAACTGAAGCTTACATAAATATTACACACCTTCTTCTTTGTGGGTCACTTTATTATATTAATTATTGCTAGGCTTTTTCTAAGCATCCCTTAATTATTAATAATCCGTTTAACTCCTTAGATCAGGGGTGTCAAACTCAAGGCCCGGGGGCCAAATCCAGCCCTTGACTTCACTTGATGCGGCCCCACAAGAGCTTGCAAAGAATGTTATTATACGGTTACATGCCGTTTTACAGAAGCACGTTGCCCATAAACTACATGTCCCACAATGCATCTCAAATATGCATTTTTCTCAGAATTTGATTGTTTTTTCAAAATGTCACTTATTCTTTTTGACTTTTTTTATTTTAATGTGGCTTTTCTTTTTAAATCATTTTGTGACATTCTCACTGAAGAGACTTGCAATTATTTGCCCTAGATTTCTGCTTTCAGACGTAGTTAATGACGAAGTTATTACCCTATCTGATAATAATCCAATGCAGAGGCAATAATGTAATATCACACATTATTTTATATATATTAAATATTTATATCTGTATTTTTATATAGTCTTAAAGTTACAACCGGCCCTTTGAGTGCAACCTTAATGCTAATGTGGCCCGCGATGAAATTGAGTTTGACACCCCTGCCTTAGATACTCTACTGTTGGTTGGTATGGCTGATTTAATAATAATAATAATAATAATAATAGTTATTAATAATACATGAGATTTATATAGAGCTTTGCACAGTGCTCAAAGACTCTTTACAAGCAAATAAAGAAACTAAGAAAAAAATTAAATATATTATTAATTAATGCTAACATTTCAAATTGTCTACACACTGGTTTCAAGCTTTAAAAAAAAAAAAAGGTTTTGACAAATGGAACTAGATTATTCAATAGTATTTATGTTCTTTGAATTCTTTTTTAAAATCCCACATATTTCCGTTTTAAGATATCTCGTTTTGTTTGATCACAGTCCAAAAGCACGCAATATGCAATATATACAATAAGAGCACAATATATGATCAGGGACCAAACTAGCCCACACACACTCCAGTAAAGCTACACACACTCCAGTAAAGCTACACACACTCCAGTAAAGCTTCACACACACCAGTAAAGCTACACACACTCTTAATGCGATGTTCAGCCGAACCCACCACTGCGTTATAGCAGAGGGAACGGAGCTGTGTTAAATCACAGCTGCCCGACGGTCCCATATTTCATTCAGTAGCAGTTTAATCAATTCAACGTGTAGCTCACACCGGCCGCAAATCGCTAAGTGAGATTAGAAAAGTTCAATGTGTGTGTGTGTGTGTGTGTGTGTGTGTGTGTGTGTGTGTGTGTGTGTGTGTGTGAGGGCAGTGCTCGGAGACAGAAGCAGCAGAGCCTGACAGCGAGGTGATGTCCAAATGAGCTATCGACCGATCGCACTGAGGCGAGGGAGCAAGGGGGCAAGGGAGCAAGGAGGGGAGCGAAACAGATGTATTCTTCAGTATCTGTGTTTCACTGCATGTTCTACTTTCATTACATGTTTTATGATTTAATGTTGTTATTATTGGCTGCTACTTTATTGCTCGAGACTTTTACAACATTGCTGTAAAAAAAAAACCTGTGCATTATAGAGCTTTTTTACTATTAAGTAAGGCTGCTCCTCCACTACTTTTATACATTGTCAAAGTCACCATATAATTCAGCCATGATATGAAAAATCTGTGATATAGCACCTAGCAACGCCTTTTATAGTCACAACAACCTTTCCCCAGCACAGGTTCATAAGTAAGCTGCTTTCCACACAGCCTGCAGTTCAGCACCACGGACAGCTCCAGTAACTAAACACAACACAAGTGTTATGGAAATAATTATCCTAGACGCCAATTTGTAGCATACAGGACAAACCTTGATGTCTGTTTACCTTCTTTAAGGACACAGGCTGCTTAGCCAATAATGTTATTGTTCCCATTCTGTGACCGGTCAATACTGGGATACAGATGGTCTGTGTTGTGGGTACACTGGGACACTTCCTTCTCTGTATTTGTGGACTCCAAGGTGAAATCTTCGAGGTCATAAGTGTCCGACGCAAGTAGCTCAGTGTTCCCACAGTTTAGGCTATCTCCTCAAATATGTTGTTTACTCTCTGCGAAACCAGTTAGATGGGCTGGCAAGAGAGAGGCTCTCCAGAATTGACGTGGCAACTCTACCGTGAAGTCAGAACCTCTGACTCTTGGACTTGTGATGTGAATCCTCCGGCCGTAACTCCAAATAAACCATGTGTTTGACATCAAAGCTACTGCTCCTACCGTGTCTCCTTCCTGAGTCGGTGACTCCCACTGCATAGCTACACAGAAGTTTCCTCTACAACAAGCAGGACAGCTCGAGCCAATCCACAACCCGGATGACTGGTGTCAGGGTGAAAGAAATGAAGACAGAGGGAGATGTGTGTGATGGCGGTCCGGTTAAACTCACTGGGTGTTTGGCTGAGATTCTCCCAGTCACCACGCTGGTCTGGTGCCACGTCGAGGAAACGTAGTTCTGATTGAGAAAGAACCAAGAAAGGGAAATATGAACACATTAAAATGGACAACTCCATGTTATGACATCAACAACTGGACGCCAAAAGGAATACAATGAATACTTCCCTCATATATAAACATGATGAGTAATGTTTCTCAGCTTATCAACAACAGCTGCGAATCCTCATTGCCATCATCGCTCTGATTCTGCTTTTGGACCCGCGAGCATCAACAATGCAACCGTTTGACGCCCGAGCTGCTCGTACACTGAAGTGACAGTTGGTGCAATAAGTAGGACATGCAAGCAAAGTACTCGCTGCTGTCAAGTGATGAAACCCCTACATGTATTTCATATTAGATTGCTGGGGGGGGGGGGGGTCAGTCCATAGTATAAAAAGTAGATTGCATGACGTTTTTGCGCTTCTATGTGACATGCTTTAATGTTCAAAAAGGACACGAAGGAGGAAACAATTCCACTTATTGCAAAAACAAGTCAGATGGTCATAAGAAAATGACTTATCACTTGATTAATTACCGTAGTAAACATTTAACTAAAGAGTTGATGGTTCCAATTGCTTGTTAAAGTCTTCTTCAGTACAGAATGGTATCCATTATTAAATCTTAATCCTATTCTCAGTGAAGTAGACTGTAAAGGTCACCTATCATGCTATTTTTAGGCAATAGGTCTCAGATATATAAAACATTTAAAAATATATAAAAAACATGTCTATGAAGTGTTTGCTCAAAATACCAAACAGATCACCCATTCCAGCCTCATATCCCTCTATTTCAAAAGGGCTGATTTTATGTATAATGCTTAAAAATATTTTTGATCAAAATTAAAAAAGGAGGGTCTGAGCTCATGCGGGACCCGGCAGCTACCGTCTAAACTAAATACTGCGGTGATGAAACGCCATATCATGGATTATCAAGGATTCTCTCTGAAACAGTTCTGGAGCTCAAAGGCTTTCTCTATTGCCGGTTATACCACAAGGTGAGTTCCTTTTTATTTCCTGCTTCTTCACACACACTCTCTCCAGTACAGGTTAGCTCTGAATGTTAGCGATGCTAATGGAAACACCGACCATATTACGTCCAAAACAGTCGGGCATTGTTTCTGATAGCAACGTTTCTGATAGTGCCGTGGGTCCACATTTCAGATATTACATCATATCGGACGCAAATCAGGATCAGCTCCGTTGTTCCCCCGTTTTTAGAGATTTGGGTACGGAGGAAAAGAGAGGGTTTGTTTTCTGACGCTGCGTGAGTTCCCTGAAACACCGGGGACACATCTTTATATATAAAAGACATCAAAAAGTGCATTTTGCATGATAGGTCCCCTTTAAAGAGTTAGGCCATTAAGATTGACATGTCACTGTGCCACATTTTGGTCGTTCAAATAAGTATTTTTCAGCATTGAATTGAAACAACTACTACTCTTTCCCTCTCATACCACACCATGTTTCATTTCTGGGTTATACATTTAAAAAGAAAACATCTATTTCCTTTAGTCAGCAGCCCCCTCCTCTAGCTGGGATTGCTGCCATGCTCTGTCCGAACGACCTCCAGATGAATCAGCCCCATCAGAAGCTGAAGCAGCTCCAGAGACAGCATTGAGAGCGCTCACATTGATAAACACAAGCTGCTACTTCCATGCAGAGGCGATAGGGGCCCATGTGGAGAGACAGACAGACACAGAGCTGCATCTTTGCTCTGCCAACTCAGTTCAGCCGAGACATGTCTTCTATAATTACAGCAAGGTTGTGAAAGTTCCTGGTTGTGTTTGTAATGTGATACAGTTTAAATTGTAGGTATTTTGTTGCTTCATAACTGCTCTAGGCTCACCTTGCTCTTCATGCAGGAGAGGATCCCATCGACAAAAGTGGACTTGATTTTGTGAACCTGGGGAGTACAAGGCAGACAGCTGTTACCTGGAAACCAAGGGTGAGACTTTCAGATGCTCCACTGCACATTGGATATTGTCTTAGCATACCTTGGATATCAAACTGTAACCTTCAAATGTTTTGTGGTAAAAGAGCCTCTTTTCTTTGGGCTGACTTGTTTGTATAGCAGATACATTAAAAAGCAATACTAACCTGTCTGTACTCTAGAATGATCTTTGGCAGAGGGTGGAGGTCCTGAAGCTGCAACAGCTGCAGCGAAACAGGACAGAAAGGATCAAAAACACTGTTACTGTTATTCAATGTTGTTCTTTTTGTGTCGTTTAATTTATACTCCATCTACGGATATGTACAGATCAAACAATCAGAACTTCGTATCTGTTTGTGTTTGTTTGTTATTGACGTACTGCAGCTTCTGATGTTGACTGTTGCTGTGTGCTGATGGTCTTTGGGAGTTTCTTGTTTTCGCAGCGCTCGTGGAGGCACAGCTTCTCAAACAGGACCTTCAAACATTGGAAATCCATTGAGACGTACACACAACAAAGGGAAACACACATACAAGCGTGTGCATACATACAGTGCATGCATAACAGCACACAACCACAACGCTCAGATGTACAGATAAAGGTACACACTGCTCGTAGTTGAGTGCTGCTGGTGACCAGGAATATCTGCCCTGCTGCTCGGTGGGCCTCCTGCTCCAAGTGCTTCATCTTAGTCTGACAGAAAGGTAGAAAGGGGATAGAGAGAGAAGAAGAACAAGAGAAACACAGAGGGGGGAAGAGGGTACAATTTAGACTTGAGTCATGTAGTACACACAAATGTTTTCCAACGTTTGTTTTAACCAAGGTATCAGTCATTCTGTCTGATGGAACATTAATTACTGCAAATTAAAGGGGCCCTAGAGGAACTTTGGGATTGTACAAAAACCTATACAACACACTACAGGGAAGCATAACAGGGTCTCTTTAAGGCTTCTTGGATACACAGAGTCTGTTGCTTTGAGTGACATACAGGTTCTGTATGCACAACCAATCACATTCATCTGTGATTATCTAACAACCAAAGCGGAGAAAAACACTGAAAAGTAAAGTTGGTTCAAAAAAGAAAACACAGTTGAGTGGGGAAAACTTCTGAAGCAAATGGAGTCAGAGAGACACGAGGAGAGCTGGAGCTTCGATGGAAACACTGACGGTTTATTTGGAGCTTCGGCCGGAGAATTCACACGACATGTTACGGGCCACGATCTGACCACACGGTTGAGATGCCACAATCAATTCTGAAGAACTCTACCCCAGACCCGTGTATTTAGCTAGTTCAACATACTGCATAACAAGATAGAACCATAACACCTCTATCAGCTGACGCCAACAGGCAGGAACAGGGAGACAGAACACTGAGAGCACAGCAGCCAAGGTTACAGGTGCCTGTGCTCAGTCAGGACAGTTTGAACTGATACACTGGGTCAAAGTTATGGGCCTTGGGAAATATTTGGACCAAAAACAGGAACTTTGTTGTTAGGTAAACACATTTTGCAGGATTAGGGTTTAAGAGAGAACTTTTAAAATGTGTAAGACAGAACTAGTTTCTCTTTCCTTCCAATGACCAAAGACAACGCACTGTTAATGTGCTTCACACACACACACACACACACACACACACACACACACACACACACACACACACACACACACACACACACACACACACACACACACACACACACACACACACACACACACACACACACACACACACACACACACACACACACACACACACACACACACACACACACACACACACACACACACACACACACACACACACACACACACAGCATGTTAAACGCAGCGAGGGAGAGGATGTTAAGGGATGAAAAATGACACAAGGTGGAAGAAGGGGAGAGAAAAAAGAAAGGGCCACTTGGGATCGGAAAAAATGGAGTAAAGTAAAAGAGAGTGATAGGAGAGAGTATAAGGTAGAGGATGGAAGAGGAGAGGCCATGTCCCAGAAATGCAGAGATAATAATGAGTGGGGGGAAACTGGGTGTGAGAAGGGGGAAGGCAGTTAAAAGAATCCCTGCTCAACATATTCAGCCTAAACATGAACATTTGAGTGTTTCTACCACTGGGGTGACATCCTCATCACACCAGCAGCTCGATCCAAGTCTGACTGAAGAGGAGAACACTTCGTAACAACTTGACAGAGCGAGGGAAGAGAGAAACACGGACAAGAGGAGAAAAACAAAAGGGCAGAGGGGAGGTGGGGTGATGAAATGAGAGACCACAGACAGAAAAAGGAAAGGGCAGAGAAGATTAGAGGGTTCAGAAAGTGTTGAAATGTGGTAGAAATACTTCAGGGGGTAGACACGTATAAAGAGGTGAGAAAAGGAAGTGTTGTGGCGGGACCTTGAAGTGATACAAAATGGCTTTTAGAACAGACATCACTCAGAGGAGGGAGACTGTGAGAGACAGAACCTGACAGGATGATGGGCAAAGGAGGTAGATGTGCCAGAGGGAGGTGAGAGAAAAGACAAGAAAGAGGAAAAAGTGGAAGAGCTGTAAGACATGTTAGAAAAAAAATCTAAAATATGTTCTTTCTGTTGCTCTTAGTCCAGGGCAGGCTCCAGCTCTCATTCATATTGGATGCTAGCCCCTAAGTACTTTGTTTCTCACACACACACACACACACACACACACACACACACACACACACACACACACACACACACACACACACACACACACACCCACACCCACACACACACTAAGTGGCGTCTGTCCTTCAGAATGTGATAACGCAGACTGAAACGTGCATGTTTGTCAGGTGCATGCTGACAGACAGGAGGGACAAGAAAAGCACCAGCACTAAACTCTGCAGCAGTGTGCAAAAGCGTCAGCAGACAGCGATGCTCCTCCCCGCAGCCACACAGCCTCCTGAAGGGAAAAGACACACTCTCCGTCCTATGGATAGTAACACGGCAAGATAGAAACACTCTCACTGTACAACAACACCCCTGCTGGCACTTGGAAGAAGTTCTAATTGGGTTTACAAGCGCCTGATCGGGAACATGTGTGTATTCCTGAGCAGGCGTGTGTGTGTGTGTTTGTCTTAGTGTGCCTATGATCACTCTCAAATGTGGTCCTGAGAATAGTTGTCTATTCAGATGTAAACAGGACGGGTCCCCAGAGGACGTCCAACAACTACATCACTAATGGTATCCAGAAGTAGACATTTTTCTTTCCTTCTCAGGCTCTTTTTGTTGGTAATTGAGATCTCTCCTGTGTCTCATATCCTCCCACTGTTTTGCACCCATTTGTATTAATAACGCAGCCGTCTACTGCACTGCGATTCAGCAAGAAGTCTCTAAATGCAATCAGCAAGGAGATGTGAAGCACACATTGTATCCGACCGTGAACATCCTACCTAGAGACAGACATTTCCAAGCAAGCTTTTTCCAAGCCAAGTCTGCTCTGATTGGTCAGCTGGCCGGCTCTGTTGTGACTAGTCACTGCTTATTAGAGATATAGAGAGATGACCTGTCCCTTAGCCAATCACTTACAATGTGTTGGAGCGCTTGCCAATAGAAGCGTTAGTGTTAAGTAGTGATGTCACTATGTTACCGAAGTAAAAAAACACAATAGCGCCCATGAAACGTTCAGCTGAAAGACACTCAGACAGTGATTTAAGATTCTGTGGAATGACTAAGGGTTATCTCTACACAGTTTCTCTCCATACATGATATGATGTATGTATGGAGAGAAGGACTACAGTATGTCAAGGAACTGTGTTATAGGAAAATGGAATTACTTAAAAAATGCCGGTCTTTCTTTAAACACACCGAGCAGAATTTCTAGTGGGAAATGAATATTCACCGTGAGTCAAATGTGGCTAGCTCCCGGCTGTGAGAGACAGGTTTGTCTACTCTGCAAGACCTTTTTAAAATGGCTGCTGGCCCCGTATGCTGGCTTGTCTTAGTCAAACTGTTCTGCTCTATTATTTTATAACACCAATAGGGAACTTTAAAATACGCTGGCCATAATATTGAATGCACCACAAAGGGTGTTGATGCTGCGCCTTACCCCCAGCAGGTCTGAAGTCCTCTTCAGAGCTTCTTTGTCCACGTGGATGCGATGGCTCTCCATGGCTGAAAAAACACAATCATTTACTGCTCCACAGAACATGATATAGTAGTTCTATGACCGTAGAACAGGGAAACCAATACAACTGAATGTAGGCATCAAATTAGAGAATTGACGACTTTATTCATTAATGTAAGAAGTATTACAAATAAAATGAAGGTTAATATTAAACAGTTTTTTCAAGTCTTTTGCTACTTGAGAATGAGAGAAGTGGGATCACCTGCGAGAACAGAGATCATGTTCAGCTCCATGTCTGAGTACAGCTCCCACAGGCCCTGGCTCTGAACACACATAGTCAGTCAGGTCATGTGTTGAGTATCTGAACTGTGTGTGTGTGTGTGTGTGTGTGTGTGTGTGTGTGTGTGTGTGTGTGTGTGTGTGTGTGTGTGTGTGTGTGTGTGTGTGTGTGTGTGTGTGTGTGTGTGTGTGTGTGTGCGCACATAGACTGACTTGTAGTTTAAAGCATAGCTCCATGTTGAGCCAGTGGAGCGAATAGAGGCCTGAGATGACCTGAGAAACCTGAGGGTGTGACAGACAGACAAACACACAGAAATACAGTGAGTGTGTGGGTAGTTTGCTACTACAAGACAACGTAGCTGCCTTAACTGACCTTCTTGGTGCCCAGTGCAGGAGTTGTGTGGGGTCTTTTGCTGTGTTTATTGAGAAGGTCCTGGAAACATGAGGCAGAATGTTCCGGGTCCAGCAGCCACCCTGAGACCTGCGGGTCCTGGATACGACATCCTGCCACTAGAGAGAGGACGACTCTTTATAATATGAAGCATAATGAATACGTGGTAATGTGTACTGATGACAGATTGATTAAGCTCGAGTCCTTGATTAATGCTGAAGCAAGTAGTGTTTTTGAAGCAGGAGTAATACATTAGGCACTTGTGTTTCTATGTGTGCATTCATGTGTGTGTGCTCTGCCTTGTTTCCAGCTGAGGTCTCGTCTGTAAAACTGCAGCGCTGTACGGAGCAGATCCTTGGCTTTATAGCACACCACCAGTTGAGATCTTGATAGCACCTGTAGCAGCATATCTCTACAGCACACACAAACACACACACCTGTTTTAAAAGTAGGAACATACATAATATCTTTTACACAAACACTTACACACACCTGGTAAACAGCTCCTGGCTCTGGTGTGTGTGCTGCTGAGCCCAAGCAGGTGTGTGTTCTAGTTTCAAGTAGACCAGAGTGTCGTTTGGCGCGAGCGAGTCCTCCGGGTTGCTGCTTGCGAGGCTGTTCTTCATCAGCATGAGGAGGCCACACACTTCTGGAGTGAGCTTCTATCTCAGGCATCAGAGGGGGAAATGAGCATTAGCAAAGAGTTAATGAAGGGTAATCAGTTCTCACTAATCTTATATCAACAGGGACAGATACTTGGTCTGTTTATATTTACAGGGGTAGGCCATTAATCATACCCTACAATATTGTTGCAATATTGACATTAAGGCATTTGATTAGAAATATGGGGTTTCACCGTATCACCCAGCCCTAATTGACTCCCCAAAACTCCCCCATTTCCCTGCAGCGTTGCTTACCTGTTCTGCGTCTAACTGAGTTGTTCCGTCTCGATACACCAAGGTAAGCACCAGCGTCTCGCTCTTCCCCGCCTCCTCGAGCATTTGCATCCTTTCCACTTGGTTCATCTTCCCAGAATCCTTTACTCTGGGGTCAGATGTCAGGGTGGCAGTCAGGCAGCCAGCTTTGGATTGGTTCTGTGGCTCGTTACCGTCGGCCTCGTCATGGGATATCTTTGGCCCGTTTGGTTTGGCCCGCTTGTGCTTGAGTTCTTTGCCGGGCACAGAAGCCGGGGTTGGTTTGGAAGCGATCCGAGCTATTTCACGGCACCTTTCTGCCACCTTAGTCTGTCGAATTTGTCGCGTTTTCTTCAGGGCATGTGTGTCCTTATCCACTTCTAACACATTTCCTGTTGTATGTGAAGAACTTGCTTCAGTCTCTGGTTCACGGAGAGAGGTGCTGGCTCTTTTCAGCTCATTGACTCCTTCTTTTCCTGCCTTCTCTTGTGAGTATTGAGGTGGCTCCCACTTTGGAGCACGCTTGGTTTGGTGGATTTTAGAAGGAGGGTCACCACATTGGTGTTCATGCTTTCTCTTTAAAGGGAAGGAAGGAATCAAGGGAAGATGACGTGAATGGGAAGTAAGCAGGCGGCTCTTGTCAAGTTTTGCAGCAGTTGAGGACAAGTCCTGCGCTGAGGGGGAGGAGTTTTGTCCAGCAGGAACATGGCTCCCTCTGACATCTCCACTAGCTGTCTGCACACCAGAAAGGGTGAACAGTGACGGTCAGACGGGGGACAAGAGAGGCAAGAATAGATTCAGATGGACTTATTCTGCAACTCCAGAATGCACTTGTAAACAGACTCTGTCTCACATGCTGGGTTAGCTTTGTTACAGAGAAGAAATCAATACAAAGCAAATCAGTGTAGGAAAGTGGAGTAGATAGCATCCCTTATCTAATTACTCCCCTTTAATGTTTGGATCTAGTTGGATTATATAGAAATTTGTGAAAGGTGGTGAGCAAGACAGAGAGAAGCAAGCAGGGGAAAAGGGAGGATGTGAAAGGAGGACTGCTGCTCTCATTCAGCCACCAGCGCTGCGTCCCAGACCAAAACACAGACAGGCCAGACTGTACTTTTGTCTGGCCACTTATTAATATTCCATGAACTAAAACAGAAAACGTCTGCAGGCTGGATGACAATCATTATTACATTATATCCAATTTGATTTGAGAGGGTTTAATGAATTATCCGACTGTTTACATGTAGGTATATATGTAAGCAGTAAATATGGTCTGTGCTGTTATTTTAGGGTTAGCAAGTGATGGGAAGGGAACATGAATAATAAAGATGGCTTGATTTGATAGAAACGCATGCAAATGACCAAAATGTATGTCAAAGTTAGACTCCCATAGATAGAGGAAAGTGGAGAAGGATTGAGGAAAAAACGGAGAAAGAGGGACAGATTTTTTGAGTCCCATCTCCCAAAAGTAATAATAATAATAATAATAATAATAATGCATTTTATTTATATAGCGCTTTTCACAACTCAAAGACGCTTTACAGTATGAGGGTGGGTAGACAAGGACAGGCAAACAAGTAAGTATAGTAAAATAAAAAAATAAAAAGGCAGTCAAGAGGAAGTTGATTGAGAGGGGGGGGGGGCTTATGGGTAGACAGAGTTGAAAAGATGTGTTTTGAAGCGGGACTGAAAGACTGTGAGGGACTCAGAGTCACAGAGATCTTGGGGGAGGGAATTCACCAAAATTCAAAAGTACACCTTCACCTTCTGATAACCTTTCCAGCATCTTAAAAAACATCTCAATTATTCATAGCGGCAACTCCCATCTCTATTGCAAGAGCACTGATGGTGAGCAAGAGCACTGATGGTGAGCAAGAGTACTGATGGTGAGCAAGAGCACTGATGGTGAGCAAGAGCACTGATGGTGAGCAAGAGCACTGATGGTGAGCAAGAGTACTGATGGTGAGCAAGAGCACTGATGGTGAGCAAGAGCACTGATGGTGAGCAAGAGCACTGATGGTGAGCAAGAGCACTGATGGTGAGCAAGAGCACTGATGGTGAGCAGGAGCACTGATGGTGAGCAAGAGCACTGATGGTGAGCAAGAGTACTGATGGTGAGCAAGAGCACTGATGGTGAGCAAGAGCACTGATGGTGAGCAAGAGTACTGATGGTGAGCAGGAGCACTGATGGTGAGCAAGAGCACTGATGGTGAGCAAGAGTACTGATGGTGAGCAAGAGTACTGATGGTGAGCAAGAGCACTGATGGTGAGCAAGAGCACTGATGGTGAGCAGGAGCACTGATGGTGAGCAGGAGCACTGATGGTGAGCAAGAGCACTGATGGTGAGCAAGAGCACTGATGGTGAGCAGGAGCACTGATGGTGAGCAAGAGCACTGATGGTGAGCAAGAGCACTGATGGTGAGCAAGAGCACTGATGGTGAGCAAGAGCACTGATGGTGAGCAAGAGCACTGATGGTGAGCAAGAGCACTGATGGTGAGCAAGAGTACTGATGGTGAGCAAGAGCACTGATGGTGAGCAAGAGTACTGATGGTGAGCAAGAGCACTGATGGTGAGCAAGAGCACTGATGGTGAGCAAGAGCACTGATGGTGAGCAAGAGCACTGATGGTGAGCAAGAGCACTGATGGTGAGCAGAGCACTGATGGTGAGCAGGAGCACTGATGGTGAGCAAGAGCACTGATGGTGAGCAAGAGTACTGATGGTGAGCAAGAGCACTGATGGTGAGCAAGAGCACTGATGGTGAGCAAGAGCACTGATGGTGAGCAAGAGCACTGATGGTGAGCAAGAGCACTGATGGTGAGCAGAGCACTGATGGTGAGCAAGAGCACTGATGGTGAGCAAGAGTACTGATGGTGAGCAAGAGCACTGATGGTGAGCAAGAGCACTGATGGTGAGCAAGAGCACTGATGGTGAGCAAGAGCACTGATGTGAGCAAGAGCACTTCATATTCTCTGAAAGCTAAGTTAGTGGAAGTTCTGAGGATTTTCCAACCACATGTCAGCTGTGTTCTTGGTGTGTGTGGAATTCCTGTAATTCAGCTCCCTGAGGAGAGTCTTCCTCATTTCCCTGTAAACACAACCCGTTTTCCTGCTGACAGAGACATGACCCCCCCCCCCCCCCCCCCCCCCAGGGTGCTGTGCTACAGGATATAAATAGAAAACTGAGGCAGGCCGTGGCCCGTAGCCCAGTGCAGGAGAGAGTGAATGAATTGCTGTGTGTGCTGCTGATTGTAGCGTTATAGTCCTGTACCTTTTCCCCCACACTTTAACGGCTCATTTGGGAGCTATAACCACGCTGCGATCCTGCCGACGGCACCCAGATTGATTTCTACGTGCACCGGGGAAATAGAATCCCCTTTAAAAGCAGCTATTTAAATGTCAGGGCTTTTTTGCGGTGTAGCTAGGATGACAGAGGTAGAGTGGGAGACAGATGAAAACAGGGGACAATAAGGACTTCTGAATTGAAAGACAAGTAAACAAATCTACAAAAGGGAGCTTAAATGTTTCCCCTATTAAAATGTTGAAGCAAAGTGGACAAAACTCAAGATTTTCGCCTCATGTCCTTCTCCCATGTTTATAAGTATGTTTTAAGCATAGCTGTCACGTTATACAGAGTTGTTTATATATCAGATTTGCTCCATAGAGACTCACATGTACGTTGTCATGGTGCAGTTGGTTCCCAAGGTTATACGGAGCTCTGAACTTCGACCTTTTTGCCCCGCACTCCTGGGACAGCGTTGGCGTGGAAGAAATGTATTGGTCCATGCCCTCTACAGGAGAGGAGGTAAGAGCATTTCTATCACATCATCACTTTCCAGACACATCCTCAATCAATGACCCTACAGCTGTTATGTAAGCATGTGTTTGACTAAGCATGTATGGGCGCTTACACAGTGTGTGACACCTCAGCAGTGAGTGACACGACAAGGTCAGCCAACACCAGTCATCCTGATTTGTTACAACACCTCTTGTTTGCGAGTGCGCTGTTCAGTGTGTGTTTGTAGACGTGTGAGTTGACTCAGCATTGTCTCAGCAGTTGAGACTCAATCTGCCTTGCTGCGGCTGTAATGTGAGCCGACGCACAACATCCCTGAGCGGTGCTCTGACAACGCCACTTCCATGAAAGAAAGATGGCTATAGAGTTTGACACAAGCTCAAACACTTCAGCATCCCCTGTGCTACTTTGTCTAAACTAAAAACAGGCACCAAAAACAGAGAACTGAACACACTTGACTTTAAATGTAGTTTTTTTAACTAAATATACTGGTCCTCATTTATAGAACACGGCCCCATTACTCTGGATATAACAGGTCACATTTTAAAGTTTTTTTCAGTTACAGTTTCACTTTATAAACACATTCACATTTTAGTCAACAGTTCTTTCCATTTTAATAAGTAACATTTGAATCATTATTTGAGTCCATCTCCCCTTTAAATAGGTAGCGATAACCCTTCTATTTTTCTATTTAAAAGAACCAATGACTTAGCAAATTCTTAGTGTAACTAGTTCATAATTCAAAACTCAGTTTGTAGTGGAGGGCATTCACTTCTGCAATTGGTTCAATCGCTGACAAAAGAAAGTATTCTAGCGCACTCTAGCGGTGATAAGTTGAAATACAGTTCAGTCAGAAATTCATCACAGATCGTGTGTTTTGTGTTTACTATTATTTGAAATGATCTTAAAGCTAAAACGTAATGTTTACCTTCTCAGTCCCCATAATAACTCTGGCACACTATAATTCCTTTCATAACGACTTAGAAACTAGCAGCCTTACCAATCAGGCATTTACCTGCAGATGAACTCTCATTGTCGCAGTCCACAGGTGGCTTCACAGTCTCATTTCTGTCTCCCCCCTGCTCTCCTGACACAGTCTCTCCTCCAGGCTTCCCACTGCCCTTTCTACAATCTGACTCACACAGACTTTCTGTCATTTGGACATCAGAACAATGGTGCTGCTCTGTCTCCATCTTATCTTTATTGCTTGTGGCAATTCTCTCCCTCTGCACTTCCAAGTTGACCTCCATCACATCTATCCTTTCTCTGTTTCTCTGCAGGTTATCAGCAGTGGGGACTAATTTGTTGGGCTCACACAGCATCAGTGGGTTTTCTGTGCAGTGTTTCTCTTCTGTTTCAGTCCCTGCCTGACTCATATCCTGAGGCTTTTCAGCTTGGCAGTGGCTCACATTGCGTTCTCCCAGTTCCAAAGACACGGAAATCTTTTTTGGGCTGCCAGAGTGAAATCCCACTGACGCCTCTTCATCCTCTCTGTCAGCTGGATGCTCCACTTCTTTGATTTCAGGGGATCTAACGCTACACTCAAAGTCCTTATTTTCCTCCTGACAGGACTTTGCATCATCAGAATAACAATGGAGCTTTTTGTCCGTGTTACTTGTAAAGTTCAAATTCATCTCTAAGGTAGCATTCTCATTGGTTCCTGAGAGTGGTCCTTCCTTTTCATTTGCTGATTCTTTCTCATATGCTTCTATGTGTCTTGTTTTTTCACACGTTACTTCATCCTGCATTTCATGTCTTACGTCTGACATCTGCATCATATTTTCCGAATCCACTGCTTCCTCAGCTCCTTCTTCTAACTGATATAGTAATCCTCCTTCTTGCTCTCCGCGAATGACCTCTTCAGAGGGGTTGGATAGAGGGAGTCTCCACTCTGATAGGCTGTCCAAAGATACAGTGTGGTCTGTCTTCTTTCTGAGGACATGCCAGCTCTCTGCGTTTCCTTTCTGTGGAACTAATGTGTCATTCTGTGTCTCTTCACTTATTTTAAAGCAGGAATAAACCTTGTGAACAGTTGCTTCTCTTCTTTGGGTATTGGGGTGTTCGGTTGTGGGAAACAAAGCCACCTCGTCGTCGAGAGAAAGATTTTGGATGAAAGGCGGCCTGATTACTTCAGCGGAACTATGAAAGTAAAAAAAGTACGAAATGCATAATTCATGCTTTTCACTTACAAAATCAGCTACAGAGGAGCACTCACAAGCGCTTAACTTTGGGACAATGGGTGTTTCTCAATGTCGAGGACGCTTCCTTGGTAGGACATGTCTTCTGAGTCAGGTCCTTCAGAAGCGAGGCAAGAATCCTTCCTAGCCTCGGAAAACGAAGAATGGTGGAACAGGCTAACAGGTGTGCGTCATATGCGAGGCCCCGCCTTAAATGGAGCGCGATTTCCGCCAAAGATTTGGGAAATTGGTCCGTGCGCAAAGCATTGTGGGGATTTTAAGACCGCGGAGGATACACATCATGGATGTATGATAAGATCTGGATACAGCGTGGGAGGCGGGGCCTCGTTCATTCCTATGAGAGTTGCTCATTGGCCCATGAAGACAAAATGGCCCAACTTTTGAGAGAGCGAAACGTCACGAAAGTATTCATATAATCATATAATCCGTTCTTATTGGGCATCCATGGGTAAAGGTAAAACTCAAGTAGTACTGAACACGTCACATGAACGTACCGCGGCGCGGTCCCGTGGGTTAGATGCGCGTTCATAATGTAGAGGAAAATAACTCTCAGAATAACATTAGGACATTTTACAACTTGAGGACCGAATGTTTTTAATAAGGGCTATACAAGTGTTCATACTGGGTAGTTTATTTAGTTTAAAAAAAAATTATCCAACGATTTACAGACGTCTTTTTCCCAATATAAGTCAATAGGCGCGTTCACACCGGAGTACTTTTCCCCGTACTTTTCCCGTTTAGTTCCGTTAGTACCCCTTATGTCGCGTTCACACCAAAAAGAGTACTTAGTGCCGGGAACTTTTACCCCCATTTTTAGTGCCTGCTAGAGAGGTGGTGCCAAAAAAGTACCAATTTCTATTGGCTGGGCGAATTGCAAACCACGCCCCGTAAAACTCAGGATGAGGAGGTAGCACATGTCTTCCGAGTCACTTGCTTCAGAAGCGAGGAAAGAATCCTTCCTAGCCTCGGAAAACGAAGAATTGAGGAACAGGCTAACAGGTGTGCGTCATATGCGAGGCCCCGCCATAAATGAAGCGCGATTTCTGCCAAAGATCTCGTCCGTGCGCAAAGCATTGTGGGGATTTTAAGACCGCGGAGGATACACATGTGCAGCCTCGAAATTTCCCGCAACGAAGTACGTCGGCCTCGGTAGAATTCCAAGGATCCTGGACATTGGAACAGTCCTTCGGTGGCACTCGATGACGTAGCATCCTTGAAATAGTGGCTGTGGAGCAGCCTTCCTCGACATTGAGAAACACCCAAAGTGTTCTCTTCACCTCTGAATACTGAAAGCTTGTTATATGCATGAATACATTAACATTCACAAGTTTGATACCAACCACATTTTCCTGGCTATACTTACTTTCTCCATGGTGTAGCTTGATGTTCACCAAATCTCCCTGGTGTTTGGAGGGACAGGGTGAAGGGGCCTCTATGGGGGATCGGTGCTGCTGTCTCCTCACGCTGAGTGAATGACAGAGCCTGACTGGAGTGGCCAGCGGGAGGTTCAGAGGTTTTTCTGTGGGGATAAATCTGCGAGGGCCGATAATAGGCCTCAGACTGAGACGTGTGCCTTTGGAAGGAGGAACCTGAGGGGGTCAGGGAGTCTGGCATCTGCGAGGACTGAGAGCACTGCCGCTGATTGGAGGCTTCGTGGTAGGAAGTGGAAGTGGGGGACACCTGGGGCCTGGACCAAGAACTGAATCATAACCTTTGTATTAAGCACTTTAGGGATTAAATATATTATTCAATCATAATTCATTTTTTAACATGACCCATTGCCTATTACAGAACAGTCCCACATCATTTATTTTACTTTGTATCGCTCAAAATCCTGAACTCTTGCCCTTTTTATACTAATAAATTGCTGGTTATTACTTTGAACTGAAGTGCAGACGCTTTCGCAACAATCAGCTCAGCATAATTTCAAATACTGAAGGACTTAAATGGATGCTCTGACTTAAGTGCTATTTTGGAATCCATGCGTAGCTTCTCGTTAATCGTCGTACCTGTCTGTGCCCGTCTTTCTGCTGTCTTCCTGACTCATGCTCCAGCTGCTCACCTGGCTGCTCTCCACTATGACATGCACAACAAAAAGACAATACTATACACTTTCAGAGATATTCATATATTATGCATTAAATAACATATAGACAATCTTTACTTGACTTGGGCAGCAAAAATATAGAAAACCCACCTGACCTGTCAACTCTATCTCTGATTTGACACTTTACACATACAAGACTACAAAATGTTGCAAACTGTCGAGTACAAATAATTGAATGCCCTGGAAACTAATTGATTATCAAGGCAAATGGGTTTCTTTTTTTAAATACTGTGATTTATAAAACAGTTCTTGTTGTTTTCTGTTCAGATATTGAGCTACAGATTGCTGAAAAAAAGCTAGGAAATAACCTACAGTACTAGAGCAACATATGCCAAAACAAATCATTCAATACTGCTTTCAAAAAATGGCATTTAATTTTCAGTAAAGAATATTAATTATAAAGAGGCTCAAATTGGGAAACAGAAATGTTATAAACATCAATTGAACAAAGTAAAAGAAAGTGTGGCTTAAAGGTAGAATGGAGAAACCAGCTTGAGTGCGCTAGAATTTGAAAGTACGCAGCCGAAAAAAATCTGCCCCTTCCTTCAGACTTCATTACAGAGCCCCTCCTCCAACACACACGGACGCGCACATGACCAAAGAGGGCACGAGATAAGTTTGTGAACGAGAAGGAAGGCTGACAGGCAGGTAGGCCATCCAGTTACTTTAGCTGCTAAAATAATTGGTCTAGCTTTTTACAGCGCCACGGCTTCCACAGATGAAATGTTTTTATGTATTTATTGTCAAAGCACTTCAGATATTCATTGCTATCGGGATGTTAAGAGCATTCCATGGAATATAACAAAAGGTGTTTCTGAAGTGAATTACATACCCCACGTTTAACATGAGGTCAGTTTTTGACATAATGTACTGCCACAATCTTAAGTAAGATATTGTACACTTAGCCCTGACTGACGTTGGCTGTGATGGGAGGAGCTATGGCTGCGTCTGGCTGTGTGCCGACTCTGGGCCCTCAGGACAGCCAGGATCTTCTGGGCCTCCACAGACAGAGGCCCCGAGTACAACCTGTTGCTAGGCAGCTCCATCTCCTCCCTGTCAGGATGCCTGCTACTCTTTTCCTCTCCCTGACGATATCTGACTCTTCAACTGTTGAGGGCCTAAACAGGACGAAGAGGAGAGTTATACATCAGATACAAACAGCCCTGGTTTGAACTAGCATCTCAGCTAAACCTCCAGAACTGGAATAACCTTAACGAAAAAGAAAATCACAATAATTCCTCTAAAAAAAGATAACATTTTACTTTATTTATGGCAAAAAAGCAGTTTTAAAACATCCGACAAATCATACGATTATTTTACATAAACAGTTTGTAAGACAAACATTCAAATGAATCTCATTGTCAGCAGCACTGCTCATATATATCTAAACATTTCCCAAGTTGGGTTTTGTCCCAAAAATAAAGACTCAAAGGACTGATCTTCGTCTCTTCCACTTCCAAGTGAAGGTGCATATTTTGAGTGCACGGGGCTCCAAAGCGGTTGAACAGTATCTTCAAGCTTCATAACGCAGCTTGACTCCTTAGCATAGGCTCTACTGTCGCCCTCTCTTCGCAGCCATTTTGCCCTCCAGTTCTTCCACTCCTTTCTGCAGCAGTTGCTGATCCAAGTGGAAGTAGATGTACAACTGCCTCTCTCGCCTGAGGAGGGCGTTGCGCTCCAGCTGAGAGCGCTTGGCTTTAGCCTCCCCCATGATTTCTTGCATTAAATGCTGCAAACTATGCAGCTGAGACTCGGCTTCCACAAGCTGCACGGTCAGCTCCTGTATGGACAAAACACACGGATGAGGTATAAAGAAATAAATAGCAACAGGTTAAGTGAGCACCCATCTGAATCAATAAAAGATACGGAATTATTCAAATAAAGTAAATGATCACGATATGTTATTAAGACAAACATATTGCATCCATATCAAGTCAATCATACAACAGTCCACTTCCTGAGAGCCACTTATTATCACACCGTGCGTTTAGACCCAACGTGTCTTTAATCAAATCAAGTTTTATTTATATAGCACATTTATAAACGATTTTTGGTCGAGCCAAAGTGCTGTACATATAATAAAGATAGCCTACAGTAGAGACACTTTACAGCAACTACAACAGCACAGATTGTTCTTTATGTGAGTGAAAAGGAATAAACAGAGTGCTACCAGCTTCCCTCACCAAAAGTGACGAGTCATTTTAAATTCAGCTGACGTACATTAAGTCTTTCTTTTTGAAATGTTCGGTTGACCAAAGTGACCAAAGATACAAAGGAAAGAAACCCACCTGTGCATTGGGACAGAGCAGCTCTTGGTCAGTGGCCCTAGGACGTACCTGTGGCCTTAAGAGCAGCTGCTGGAGTTCTGTGTACATGGCACTGTGGAGCGCCTCACAGTCGCCATAGAGACGAGCTGCCGTGTAGTACTGCTCACGACCGGCGCCAGCTAGAGCGTCTCGGGTCACTTGGAGGTTGCCCGCGAGGCCACGAGCAGAGTGGTCCAATGCTTCATATGTCCGGAAAGGCTTCGATCGACCGTGCTCTGAATCATGGTCAAGGATCTGGAGCAGCCTGGGGAGAGAAATGCATACAACACTGAATTATAATCCAAAGTGAAACAACGTGAAGATGAAGGAAGACAACTAAAGAGTGTCATGGGCACCAAGCAGCCAACATAGCACCAAAGCATTGCACAGGGGGAAAGTGAATAATCATGTTTGTGGTGTGTAAATAATAATCACATTCAAATAACATCCATTAGAGTGCAGAACATAAAACCCACTTACATACGGTTTCTCTTACTCTTCTTATGACTTGTTAGTTAAGACAGGGGGGATATATTATTTCATTCATAAAAAAACATCATTCTAAAAGACTTACAAATAAAATGCTTTTTACATCATCAGTTCTAAAACAGCTGGAGTCCTCCTACCTGCTGAAGGCTGCATCCTTGCAGCTGATGATGGGGTTGGGCCGGGGGTTAATAGCCAGGTCAGGGTGGGCCAGGGACTCAATTCTGAGGGTTGTCGCTTCACCTTCCGTTACCAATCTGCTGTTTATTTCTCCCAGCTGCGTAAGACCGGTCCTCCACCTCCTCAACTCCATCTCCTGACCCAGGCGCACCAGGTCAAAGGACGCCTTCTGGCGGAGCAGATAGTCTCGTACCTAGGAAGACAATTGTACATTTAGTTTTCATAGGGATGTTGATACTTGTTTAAACATTGACTTAGAATGACAGGTAGATGTTAAGGTGGTTTTATGTCTTAAGCATGACATTAAAATGATTATTGACACAGGGATCACATTTTGACTTTAATTCGTCATCAAACTCTGTTCAAATAATTGCTTTCAAGCTTTTATATTTGTTTTATTACTTTCCGTTTGTTTTACTCTGTTTTATAATGTGTTCAGTTGCAGGTCTTTAGTTCATTTCATTCTCTGTGTGTATACTTTTTGTAACTCTTTGTAAATGCAAAAGCTGCTATATAAATAAAGTGATCATTATTATATTATTATTAGGGCCGGGACTCGATTAAAAAAATTAATCTAATTAATTAGAGGCTTTGTAATTAATTAATCGAAATTAATCGCATTTTTAATCACATATAAATATTTGACCTGAGAACAGTGAGAAGCAATTTTTTTCACATGGATTTTAGTATACCATTAGGCGCATTCACACCGCAGTACTTTTCCCACAAAGGTTCATGAGAACTTAGTTCATGAGAACTCTTTGAACCTGGGGGTGGATTAGGCAAATGAAGCCGCTGACGTCACTTCTTCTTCTTCTTTGGGTTTACTGGCAGGCCGCAAACCACTTCACGTCGTATACTGCCGCCCAAAGTCCCCGGCCGGAAGTCCCCGGAGTTGAGGAAGGCTTCAGTAGAAGCTGCTGGGACTCCCAGCAGCTTCTACTGAAGCCTTCCGAGTAAATCGCCAGAACGCCGACACCTCCTCATCTCCACCGCTCCCATGTTTTATTTTGTGTTGCCATAAGTTAGTCTCTCTGCGTTTCTGCGCTGGGCTAATGCTAATAATGCTAATAATGCTAATGCGAGGATAATAAAATGGCGGCTTCACAAAACTGTTTGGGAGTTTTACGGGGCGTGGTTTGCAATCCGCCCAGCCAATCAGACATATAGCTCTTTTCTCACAAGAGAGCCGTACGAAAGTCCCTGCTCTCTAGCAGCTCTCTGCTCTCTAGCAGGGACTTTCGTGGGGGTAAAAAGGTTCTCATGAACTCATTTTAGTACCGGCTCTTTTTGGTGTGAACGCGATAAAAGAGGCTAACGTCCACGCTAGCTGCTATATGTTTTGCATTGAGGTGATACTTGAGGCTTGATGTGCTGCGGTGATATGCGAATTCCTTTTTGCATAATTTGCACACAACCGTGCTCTTATCGACGCTTCCATCCGTCCGTTTTTTAAAACATTTCCCACTGTTGTTCACTGTGGTTTGTTGTTGTCTGAAGTCATGAACGTTAGTTGGTGCTCCAGTATAATCGGTACGCCTGAAACTCATCCAGTGAGAAAATTAAATTAATTAAAATGCGTTAATTTTTTTAACGCGTTAATTTTTGTGTAATTAATTAATCTTAATTAACGCGTTAAAGTCCCAGCCCTAATTATTATTCTTTGAGCAGTAAAAATGTCACTCTTCAAAGGGTTACTCAAGCACCTTGTTTCTCATTCAAAGGATTTAAAACAAGACCATTTCATTCTCAGTAGCTGAAGCCAAGCTGATTGGTCAGTATCCCTGCCCCCTGAGAAGTACATAGGTGATATCACCAACTAACCTGATCCTGTCTGGATGTGTAGTAGTCCTGCCGGGCGAGTTGCAGAGCCAGGTCTCCCCTCACCACCGGCACATTAAGCAGCCTGGCTGACTCTCTGAGGGCAGCAGGTACTGGTCCTTGGAGCAGAGCCTCCAACTCCGCCTCCACCGCCTGCAGCTCCTTCCTGGACACGACCTCGCGGACATGCAGGGAGGAGGAACTGGAAATACTCTGGCAGGGTGAGGACAAGGATAGGAAAGAGAACTTGAGACAGGAGGCAGGAACAACAAATACCACAAAGACAATGATAACTGTGAAAGTGTTTGCCGAAGGATATAAAACACGAAACAACTGCTTACCTTGGTGTGAGTGGACTTCTCAGAAAGCCATTCTAGGCCAGCCTTGACACTCTTCTCCTCTGCCGTGGCCTGCATCAGTTGGTGCTGGGCCACAATATGAGCCCACTGAAGTCTGGCCATCTCCGTCCTCCTGCGCTCCACCACTCGCTCCTCCATCTCCTTCCCCTTGTGCTCCTTCTCTTCGTCTTCTCCATCTTCACAAGAACTGAGGTCAAGAACCTGGAAGCGCTCAGAGCAAGAAGTCTCCACAATGTCAGAGATGCCCTGGAAGAATTGCTTCTGAGTGAAGGCAGAGAGTGTTTTAGTGTTGAGCTCCTCCTGGTGCAGGTAGGGATCTAGGGGCAGCTGGGAGAGGAGGACAGTGGGGCTCTTGGAAGTGTTTGATGAGGACGTTGATTCTTTTTGTGTTGCCGGCTGAACCGGGAGATATGACGCAAGCTTTGTAACCTCGTCTGTTAGGTTTTGTAGTAGGGCATTGGTGTCAGCATTCTCAGCTCCAATGGAAGCACTGGCCTCCTTTAGTTTACAGGCAGCACTCTCCAGCTCAGCAGAAAGACGAAGGTCAACATCTGCACGGGAGGTGGCCACAAGCTGCAGCCGGTTGTACCGCCGTTGCTTCAGTTCTTTCTCTTTACGCAGCGCCTGGAGCTCTGCCTCCAAATCCTCTATAGCCACATCACCCTCAGCTGCAAACACAGAGGATGAAGAAGAGGGCCCTAAGATGTTTGCGCTGCTCCCATCCGAAGGTCCAATGGTTTTAAGGACTTCGCCCAAGGCTGCTTCATCCAAAAATGGCTTGCCAGACTTCCGCAGCTCCTGGATAGCGTGTGCCTCCTCTGCTGTGAGAACATTGCTCTGGTTGAGGGTCCGACAGACAAAGCGCAAGAAGTGAAGGTTCTCCGGGGCGCAAAACAGCCAGTCGAAGTCAGAGGCCTTCAGTGACGACGCAGCAGGAAAACCTAGACGGCCCACGGCCTCCACAAACTGGCTACCATTTAACATGTTGAATCACAGCTCTATGGCTAGTACTAGTCAGTCAGACAGCAGCAACATGTGGATTGTGGAGGATTAGGAAGACCAATAGGAAGAGAGTTAAAGCAAAGCATATACATGGTAGTTATGTCTATTAAAACCCTGCAATCATTTCCAAACATGCAGCATTCTTACAAAGTGAAACACAGAGAGTACAGATAAATAGTGGCATTTAAAGTCAATAATATCACTGGACATTGGCATTAGTTTACTATAGTTTCAGTTATTGACACTGTTTAAAAAAATTAACAGTTTTATTGTTTATGGTGTTGTTTTCTTAAGACTCAGTAGTATAAAACCTCACAATTCAACAACAGCATCCTCCAAAATGACCAAATGTGAGTTAACACCTCTGCAAAATGCCTAAATAAAACTGAAATTACAATTTCAAATCCAAGTCAGATGAATTGCTGAACAAATTAGATTAGTCTAAACATATCTACTACGAGAGTTCAACAGTGACAGCCCCTTGATATATTCTAAAATCATTTATCACAAGAAACGTTACAGTACCATTATCACTGAGTTTTTCCAAACTTAAGCCGCAGTCGACCGTAAAGGAAAACTTCATACATTTCTAACAATATTAAGCAATTGTTAGTGTCTTCGCAAATAAATGATGTGTGTATTTGTTAAAACGGATCTTGTGAAAGTATCATAAGCACATCCGTCACAACAGTTAGCTTATCATTAGTAGCTAAACAGTTGCAGTACTTTAGCCAGTTAATGGCTAGAAACTAGGTATAGCTAACATGCTAAATACCATGTAAATTGGCACTTGGGTCGAGTGCAGTGTATTCGTATATTAATCTTTACAAGAAAAGTCAAATTTGTCAAACAACAACTTACAATTGTATTCAGAATTTCCTTTTAGTTAGCATCCCGTTGAAGCCAGTTATTTACTCGCGCCAACAATCCGAACTGACGGGACGTCGACACGCCGGACAACGTAACGGTTCACGTCATACGTTAGAGGCTGCGTCAAACCTCCAACCAATCAATTTCTAGGATGAAGCATAACTCCCGCCTCCTCTCCTCCCACGCGTTCACCAACCCGCCTCTGCTTGCCCAATGCCCTGCTCCTTTCTGTGTGAGCTCACTTCTTCTTCTGCCTTTCCTTTGCTGAGAACTACTTCTGGTAAGTGATATAAATAACGTTGAAAGGACTGTGTGTAATAACCATAGACTGTATATTTATATATATTAGCATATATCAAGTTAGTTTGAGATAAATATCTATATATATCTCAAACTAACTTGATACATGCTAATATGGATGAAGGTGCATCAGTAGGTAGAGCAGCCTGCATGCCCACAGCTGGGAGTTTACTTCTCACTTATGAGCTGCCACGATGGTCCTTCAGAATTGTTTTTTGAACTCTAATCTCACTTTCGCGAAGTTTTCTGGTGACTCTAAAACAGTTGACAATGTTTGTGTGTTGATTAAGAGGAAAATGTGCTTGGTATTTTTATTGTTGTTGCTATCGGGGAATGTACAGCCAAATCCGGGTCCACCTAGTACTTTTAGTCAAATAGCTACTCCTGCTGATTTTATTTCTAGATCGGGGTTAGGTTTAATTCATTTAAATGTGCGTAATCTGTTACCTAAATTAGATTTTGTCCGTATTTGGGCGAGTTCAACTGATGCTGATGTCATTGTCTTATCAGAAACGTGGCTTGACAAATCCATCCTGGCCTCTGACATTTACATAAATGGTTACAATGTAAATCGCACTGACCGTCCTAAAAAAGGTGGTGGCGTTGCCATTTATGTGAAAAATAAGTTTTGTGTAACAAATATGGTTTCCAAATCGGTTAGTTGCTACGGACCCCCCTCAGCTGTCAAGGACTCCTTATCTTCACTGGCAAAACTGTTATCTCAACTTTCCTACAAGGAAATAGTGCTGCTTGGTGATTTTAATTGGGACTGGTTAACTTCTGTGTCAGAGGACTTTAAAAACCTGTGTACCTCTTTGAACATTACTCAAATTGTAGATAGTCCTACTCGCCCGAACATTAAGTCCCCAAATAAATCCTCCTTAATTGATCTAATTTTAACAAATGTGCCACATAAATACTCATCTGTGGGAGTATTTGCTAATGATGTGAGTGACCACTGTGTTGTAGCCACAATTAGGGACACTAAGATCCAAAAAGTGAAACCACGCATTATCACAAGGAGAGATAAAAAACACTTTGTGGAGCAGGGTTTTTTACACGATCTGTTTGATTTTGATTGGGGTAAGATCAATCTGTGTGCGGATGTAGAAACTGCATGGTCTTATTTTTATCTTGGTTTTATGAAAATTATAGATAAACATGCACCTCTGCGTAAATTCAGAGTGAAGGGTCGAGACAATCCCTGGTTTTCCGCTGAACTGTCCAGTCTCCTTCATGAGAGAAACAATGCCTGGGCTAAGGTCAGGCTCAGAGGTAGAATGGCTACGCTTTAGGCAGCTAAGAAATAGCTTCACATCACAAATAAAAAGTGCTAAATCAAAGTACTATTTGTCAGTTACCACAGAAAACCTGAATAATCCTAGGAAATTTTGGAAAGCCATAAAATCGATTTCCACTGGTGATATCCCAAATGAGCTACCTCCGTGCCTTACCACAGCATCTGGCATTATATCAGACAGGGCTACTATGCTCAATTGTTTTAATAAGCATTTTGTGTCTTGTGGCTCGCTGTTTGATTCTGTCACTGACTGTGCTTCTGCTTCTGTGAACGCTCCAATCCTTGAACAATGTGGTCTGGAAAACCCTTTCAGTTTTACCCCTTTTACTGTTGGTGTTGTCCATGATGTTTTATCCAAGTTAGATCCTAGGAAACCGGCTGGCCCGGACAACCTAGAACCTTTCTTTTTAAAGATAGCTGTAGATTTTATTGCTCCACCGCTTACTTCTCTTTTTAACCTCTCCCTTAGCACAAATACAATTCCTAAAGTATGGAAGTCTGCTTATGTCTTGCCTTTACTGAAAGGAGGGGAGGCAACTATTTTAAATAACTATAGGCCAATCTCGAAATTGTCAGTTCTGGCTAAAGTGCTTGAACGACTAGTGAGTGAGCAAGTAAAGGACTTTTTATGTATAAATGATATCCTGTCGAAACATCAGTCGGGCTTCAGGAAAAAACATAGCACCATCACTGCCACAATGAAAGTTGTAAATGACATCACTAGTTTTTTTAGATAATAAGCAGAGTTGTGCAGCTCTGTTTATTGATCTCTCTAAAGCGTTTGACACCGTTGATCATCGCATTTTAAAACAGAGGCTACTCAGCATTGGCTTGTCCAGCCTTGCAGTGGGGTGGTTTGTGAACTACCTCTCTGAAAGGTCCCAATGTGTTCACTTTGATGGGCTCACTTCTGAGTGGTTGAGCATTTCTAATGGTGTACCTCAGGGTTCTGTTCTAGGTCCACTTTTATTCTCCATTTATATTAATAGCTTGGGTGATAATGTGGAGGAAGCTACCTTACATTTTTATGCGGATGATACTGTGATGTATTGTGCAGGTACCTCAGTTAAGGAGGCTGTTGTTAAATTACAGACTGTTTTAAACACTGTTCAGACTCAGCTCTCAGCGCTTAAGCTTCTTTTAAATGTGGATAAAACCAAGTTAATGCTCTTTTCAAAAGCTAAAAAGTCACCAGAGCCTGTTTTAGATATTGTAACCATGCAAGGAAAAAAACTTGAAGTGGTAACCTGTTACAAATACCTTGGTATCTGGCTTGATGACTGTCTTTCTTTTAAACTGCATGTAAATAACCTGCTTAAAAAACTGAGGGTTAGGCTAGGTTTTTTTTATAGAAACAAGTCCTGTTTCTCTCTTGAGGCCAGGAAAAGGCTAGTCACTGTGACCTTTTTACCTGTGCTGGACTATGGTGATCTATTTTATATGAATGCGCCGGCCAATTACCTCACCAAGATAGATGCCGCCTATCATAGTGCACTAAGGTTTGTGACAGACTGTAAGACTTTGACTCATCATTGTACCCTGTATACAAGGGCAGGGTTGCTTTCACTTACTGTACGGCGGCTAAATCACTGGTATCTTTTTATTTATAAAGCAATGTTAGGGAAACTTCCGTCTTACATCTGTTCCCTGATCTCACAGCGTATTGTAAATGGCTACTGCCTGAGATCTAAAGCTGTGGTTGTATTACATGTGCCAACTGCTAGGACTGTATTAGGAAATACAGCTTTTAGATGCGCAGCGCCGCTAGCATGGAACAGTCTACAAAAGGAATGGAAGCTAAGCAGTTTGATTCCATTTCATGTTTTTAAAGCTAGGATAGACGCTATACAATCAGAAAATATTGGTGTCTGTAAATGCTACTAGTATACAAACTGTAGTATCATATAATGTCCTTTGTTTTCTGTCATGTTTGTATTCATGTTTGGAACTAATTGAAGCAGGTCACCATTGTAAAAGAGGTCTATGATCTCAATGGGTTTTATCTGTATAAATAAAGGTTTTGAATTTAATTTAATTTAATGTTATGTTGTTTGCTTTTTCTAACATATTACACACTGATACGGTGTTAGTGCTATCTTACAGCCTGTTCATTTGTATGATCACATACTAACTTTACACATGCCTGCAACCCTATTAAAAACAGAATCATTGTTTTCAGGGAGGAAATCCTTCCAAGAAAATGTCAGGTCAAGGATGTGGTTGAGTTGTACAAAGAGAGCATGATTGGAAATACTTCTTCCTGTTTTTATTGTATAGTTTTGCATAGCAGGTTTTGGATGTCCCTTACCAGGATAACTTGACTTCACTTTGTGCTGCCTTAATAAGAAGAAATGAAGATGTTATTGTTTCGGACTAACTGTTACTGTATCTGCATCTGTTCTATCTTTCACAGCTGCCCTAAAAAAAACGAATCATGGTCCAAGCTAAGACGTGGATCCTGACCAAGCACTTTGACGGCTTCCCGAAGGACAGCGACTTTGAGCTCAAGGTGGAGGAGCTGCCTGCGCCAAAAGATGGAGGTAAGTTATTTTTTGTCCTTATTCTTTTCTTAACTTCGCCAAGTAATTCAAACTCTGTTTTTCATGGCAAACATTAAAACAGTTTACATGAGTCAGTATGGTTGAGTCACATACAGAATTGGCAAACTCTGTTCTTTATGACGCTTGTTTTTTATCAATGTCTCTTTCTGTTTCAGAGGTGCTTTTGGAAGCAGTGTTTCTCAGTGTGGACCCATACATGAGGTGAGTGGATAATACGGTTGTGAATTAAAAAACATTCACCATTAGTATTGTAAGCCGCACTCTCTTTAACAAATCAATTAATCCATAAATGCAACGTCAATGAATCGAACAATGTGATGTCTCTCCAGGCCTTTCAGTAGGGTTCGCATGAATGAAGGCGATGTGATGATCGGAACTCAAGTAGCCAAGTAAGGAAAACAAACACACTGCCACACACACACACACACAGAGGAATGTCTTTAATCTATCATGATGTAACGTGCATGCCCTGATGTTAACTGAAACAGAACCTACACCTGCTAATAATTACTTAAGCCTTTGATTTACAGAGACTAAAAAGCGAAAGTGGATAAATAAAATGTTCTTGGCGTAGCCTTACACACACAATCTGTTACAGTGGAAATGTTTTGTTGCTGATAAACATGTAGAATAAACTACTCCGTGACCAAACTTTCCAAACAACGTCGCAATGATCTGTTGTACACGCACATGGTACGCATTTTTGTAACGTTGTAAACCAAAGTGCATATAAAACATCTGACACATGGTTTGACGTCATGAAGATGTCTAGGATACCACAACACCGTCATGTTTAAAGTACCTACTCGTGTGTCATCCATATGGCTTTAGTCTTCAAACTTCAAAAAAGCCCAGTGACACACCCTTAATTGACTTTCTTTCTTCTTCTGTTGTTGTTTTTCTTTTTCTGTAGAGTGATTCAAAGTAACAACCCAGCATTTCCTGTGGGAAGCCATGTGGTTGGTCGTTGTGGCTGGAGGAGCCACACAGTCTGCGACGGGATGGGTCTCGTTCCCATCATGCCAGAGTGGCCGCAAGACGTCTCGTTGTCTCTGGCTCTGGGTGCCATCGGCATGCCGGGGTAAGAAATACAAAAATGTCACGTCTGGCAGCCAGACTTCCAGAAGTTAAAGTACATTTCATTTTCTCACAGTCATGTTTTTTCAGCATTTATGATCGTTTTATGGACATCTGGACAGCTGTGGAACTTGTTTCACTAAAAACAATGCCTACTTTTTAAAGTCACCTCCTAGCCAAAAGGGGAAGGTTGTTTTGGCTTCTCTTATCTGTGAACTATTATGCAGAAGAAAGAACTGACCATCCCTGAGTAAATGTTAGATTAGACCGCTTATCTGGGAAAGTATTGCCGTTCTTCTGGTAATGTTTAAGAGAGAGTGAGAGACTCTCAGTTAAGCAGAACAGCTGAGTTTCGTCTGTCTTTGATCAAATAAACGTGTCAGGCTCCAGATGTTTGGTCCTGCTGGTGAGATGAAGTCCTCTTATAAGCACTGATGACCTTGGAGTGGAAACTAAGAGTTTACACTGCAAAGGTCAAACAGGCTTTTCTGTGGAACTGAAGGTAAACATTTCGTCTCTGTTTTCAGTGTTTTGTTAGTTTCACTCTTCCTTGTCCTTCCCAGATTGACGGCTCTGTACGGGATAGAAGAGATTCTGGGCCTTCAGAAGGGCGAGACCCTGCTGGTGAATGCTGCCGCGGGGGCCGTGGGCTCCATGGTGGGCCAGATTGCTAAAATCAAGGGCTGTAAGGTGGTGGGGTCCGCAGGGACTGATGCCAAGGTGGCTTTCCTCAAAGAACTGGGCTTCGACGAGGCCTTCAACTACAAGACTGTTGGTTCCATGGAGGAGGCGCTGAAGAAAGCTTCTCCAGGCGGATATGACTGCTTCTTCGAAAACGTAAGCGGTTTGACACATTTCACAGCTTGTTGGCTAAGTGTTTAAATCATATTCTTTGCTTTAGGTTGGAGGACTTTCTTCAAGTGTTGCCTTACAGCAGATGAAGAACTTTGGAAGAATTGCTGTGTGTGGAGCCATTTCCACATACAATGACTCCACACCCCAAACAGGTGGGAACTTCCCTTCTTGAATTTGTTTTGTTATTAATAGTCCTGCTAATTTTTCCTTTAAATTCCTTGAGGAAGAAAAATGCAGTTCAAACTGTGCTAAAACTAAAACTGCACATATTTGAATCTCCTGGAAATCCTTACATTTGAACATGCTGTTCTCAAAGTCTTTGAGATAGCTTGAAGTTTCAATAGAACAGGCAGGTAAGACATTATGAAACATGATTGCAGGTTGTTGTGTTTTCCCTTCTGTAGAATACTGTCACGAAACATCATTAAGGTGCACCATAACACCTGGTTCAATATGATGTCATAGTGAAGTTATCCATATACTGTATGCACGCTATACACATGTGTAAAATACCACATCTGCAAGGTGTTGAAATCTTTAAAAGTGCTTGATTTTGACTTTGGAAAAAGTGTTGGAACCCTATCAAATAATGTTTGTTTTTCCTCACTAGAGGGCGACATTGCACTACTGACATTTGAGCGATGTGTAAAGAGAAATCTGTCTTGATCAAATAGTTTTATTTTCTTTAACCATGTATCTCTCTCTCAGGTCCATTCCCCCACCTGACCATGATCTTCAAGCAGCTAAAGATGGAGGGCTTCATGCAGAGCAGGTGGGAGCACAAGAACCCCGAGTCCCTGAAGAGGCTGATGGGATGGTTGAAAGAGGTTGGTGTCTGAAAACAAGTTATGATATTAGATCTAATTCAGAATTGTTCACGTGTGTCTTTAGAGTTTATCCTGTGTATCTGCTTCAGTGTCATTTCTCTAATCAATTTATTTATTCTCCATCCGCAGGGCAAACTGCAGTGTCGGGAGCACACCACAAAGGGCTTTGAGAAGATGCCAGCTGCTTTCATGGGGATACTGCGGGGGGAAAACGTCGGCAAGGCTATCGTCGCAGTCTGATGTGGAGCAAAGAAGAAGAACCCGTGTTTAATGAAACATTATTACAGGATTCATACATGAAGGATTAATAGAGCTTATAACCAACCAGATATGTGTATACTAACATGATGTCCATGGAAAATGTGATATATAGAATGTGAGTTAAGACTGAAAATATACGTCCCCACAACATAAGTTTACGATACTGCACCACTAGGTCTTTTTATTAATGATAAGGATCATACTTTTTGTTTCGCATTTAAAGAATAAAGACAAATGGGACAAAGGTGTTCCATTAAATAATTTGCAAGGCTAGCAACAATTGATTGATTCATCAATTTTAAGATTACTTCTACAACACAATTGAGCATGTATTTGTCATATGCCCCTACATGGTAACACACTAGTATGTACTAATATAAAACACGTTTTGACCACTATCCAGACAATTGTCTCTGTATTTGAGTGTACTTGGACAAGATTTCTAGATCTGCTGCTGCATTCGTACATTATTGTAATGCTATTATACGTTTGTTTGGTATTTAGTGAGAGTTTGTGCAAAACAAATAAGGGCTTTTTTCCTCTGATTTTCTGTTGACATTGTATCTTTTACCTTTGTGTTGGGCTTTATTTTGCAGACTAGTATCTATCTAGTACAAATGTATGCGTGTCCTGCACTTGAAGCGGAGGAGAATAGAAGAGAAAGCGATTGAAGATGTGATCTCCTTTCAATCCTCAAATGAGTGTATTCGACATAATAGAGTTAGCCCTCAGCTGCCAAGTGCAGTCTTTATTTGATCAGGAAATAGACCGTATTTTTAGACACTAATTAGAATTTCATAAGCTTGTGATGGTAATGAGAGCTCCATGGTAACATGGGCTGCTGTTTGTCCGGTAGAAAAGCACAAGGTTTCCCCAGTTTGGGGAGATATTTGGAGTTGTATACCTACAGGAGTATGTTTTATTTTTTCCCTTAATGATCCAGGACCCTATGGACCAATTCCAAAATTGCACTTACCAGAAAATTAGCTTATTATGCAGAGTTTAATTCCCCAGTTACTACAAATATTATCGGGACGCTTAAAATGTTTTAACTTCCAACAAAAGTAAAATATTTCCAAATACTGACCTTTTCCATATCACTTTGAAATTACTTTATTTCCCTCAGACAAACATGTATAATAGCATATGATTTTGATTTAATAAAATGACTGATCTTTATTGTTAAGGATTTTTTTGTTTTGTGAACATTAACCACATTAAAAACGTTGTATGCCAAGTCTCTTTACTGGTTAGACTTTGGGAACACACCAACCCACCTGCTTACATATCAGTCTGGTCCGGACACTAATGCAAATACTTCTATAACAAAGTAACTTTGAAGAAGACATCCTTAAAAAAAAGCACATTTCCTGAACAATTAATGATATTGTTGCATATAGTACTAGTATATATATACAATTATAAAATACATTTAATAACAGTATTGTTCACCACCTCATGTTTGGATAAGGCTGAAGAAAAAGACTCTTCCCTACGTAACGACGGGAATTCACGTTTGGTTGTAAGGAAATCGAGCTGCTCTGACTTCAGTCGTTTACGGTAAAGGAATTCGTCAAGTCATTGTGACTGGAATTACTGTAAAACCACTTTCGCTGCCATTAATGAAACCATTATAATACACAGGAGATACATAATACGACACATTATCTAACAATATTATATTATTACTAATTCATATAATAGTAGTAACCTGGTACTGTAGCTTAAAGCCTACTCTGTAACCTATGTTTTGTTTGAAGTCAGCTTTATCTCTAAATTGACTGTTCCTCCAAACGATTACAAGAAAACATCCATAAACACAATGACATTGACCTGGAGACAAATGTGGCTGATACCGTTAACACCCAGCAGCTCATGACATTTGGGCGTAAAGCAACCAGAATGGAAAATATTACATCGCTGGCCCCTTCAAAATAAGAGTCTTTCTTATAAAAAGCTTTGCAACGCTCAATACACATTCAAAACAACCGGTGATGTAATGCAGCAGTCAGGTACATTTACTCAAGTATTGTACTTAAGTATGATCTTGGGGTCCTTGCACTTTACAGAAGTACACAGTAGCAGTGTATTTGTAACATTGTAGAATGAAATGTAGTATATAACAGTAGTTACATTATTTCACAAAATTAATAAAGTAATTGTATAATGTGCACCAATTTTAAATTCAGATATACACCCACCCTATATGGCGCTGACCCACCCATGCCGTTAACGCAATGTGACAATGACAACGACTTTTATTTTTGATAGTACTTCCGCTGTGTGGTGGACTTTGCTCGTGCAGCTTGATGCTCTGCCATAAAACCGCGGCGTGTCTTCTGGAGTGAAGGGATACCCAAACCGTTGCTTCATCACCTCGATCACTCAACAGCTATCATGGGGGTTATCATCATTGAGAGTCTGGTAAGTTTGTTTTGCTCCGCAGCTTTTTGTATTGAACGCTTTTAGAAGAACCATTGTAAAAAAAAAGAAATAGTGGATTTATTTATAGCTTGCTCGATGTGCTGGTGCCTGTTTCCCCTATCCCCTTCTCATTCTCCATATTCGTTTTTTTAATAGGTTTTTCTTTTTAAATAACGGTGCGTTGGATAGAAAACACGCCTCTAATAATGCCTTAATGGAGTTGTAAGTTCGCTTAATGGAAACAACGTTACTGGGTGAATCAGCGTGAATAACGTTAGCCGCCACCATGTGTGTTTCTGTTACTCTGCATCATGGCTGTGTAAAGAGAACGCTGTGGACTTTAACCAAGAAGTGCGCCGGGCAATGAAGCTAAATGTCGTAGTGGCCAATCGAAGGTACTACACTCCCTGTCAGTCCATGACGTCATTGGCCCAAAATATTTGTTCCCATTGACTTTATTTGACATCTGTAAATCAGCGGATACTTTTTTTCTACTTTATCAACCACCCAGTACGACCAATTCGATAGCCCTTATTTTAATCACTATGGTCTAAAAAGTTGTCAAATGCGCTTAAAGCCTGATTCCTGAGTCCTTTTCCCTCTCCTTCCATCTAACTGAGCCGAGAGCGGGAGATCAGAGGCGGGGCTTACGGGAAAACCCAACGACGCATGCTCTATGGGCCCACATACGGGTACTTTTAGCACAGGCCGTTTTTGGCCTCATGCGTGACTTAGCAACCCTCATATCCAGTTCTCTTATACATCCATGAACCTTTTTATAAACAAGCATTTATACCAGTAGCATTTATCTGAGTGAGTGCTTGTTTGACGGTACGCCAACAATTCTGCATAAGTGACGTTGGTTTTATTCATTATTATTGTTTTGTTTGCGGGTGGAGATGCTAAAGTTATAACAACTTGTAGCTAATATATATACTGCATCACGTTGCATGGCGGGCCGTCCACAGCAGGCCGTTCATTGAGTGTGTCGGAGGGGTGGTTACGGTAATGTATTTACGCGCCGGGGGCGCACAGGTGATGGTAATCCCCGGATGTTTGGTGGAAAAAAACCTCGTTGGGAAACATGCCAGTTCATAGTTTATAACCATTATAAAACCACACCTTTTTTTATAACGTTCTAATATTATGGTTAATGTTGTGTTTATTTTAAAGGGAAGAGTCATTACATATTAACTGTTTTGCTGGAACTATAACGATAATAAAAACAATGTGTGACCAAACAAACAGACAAACAGGTAAAACAGAGTCCATTCTCTTCGGTTCGAAACATAATCTCAGCAAATCCGACGACTTCTCAGTTGCAGTGGGCGACATTATTGTCACAAGTAAGAAGGAAATTACATACCTAGGATCTATTCTTGAGGCAAACCTCTCCTGTGACAAAATGGCATCCAATGTAATAAAAGAAGTCAATCAAAGAACTAGATTCCTATACCGGATCTCCTCTCTGGTAAACACCCTGAAAACTCTGGCAGGAGCACTCATTCAAGGGTACTATGACTATGCTTGCACGTCATGGTACCATAGCACCTCCAAGGCGCTAAAAATAAAACTTCAAACATCGCAAAATAAACTGGTCAGACTACTGCTTGACCTTTCATCTAGAACCCACCTCACCTCTGCCCACTTTGACAACCTAGGATGGCTTAGAGTAGACGACAGAGTACAGCTACTTGCAATGGGCCTGGTCTACAAGATCCACTACACCTCTATGGTACCCATGTACATGTCAAAATTCTTCCCAAAGGTCAAGGAATACCATGATCATAACACCAGAGGGAGCTCCACAAATCATGTGAAACCCAGATTTGGCACAAAAAAGGGGGAATACACGTTTCGCAATTATGCCACATCAAGGTGGAACGCTCTTCCCACAACTGTAAAGGAAAGTAAAACTATACTTACCTTCAAAACCTCTCTTAAAGAGCACCTTCGGGGGAGAGCATTGCAAAACTGGCCCCGGTAATGGTACAAATCTCAACCTGTCGTTCAATGGACAGCTTCCCCCCCCCATCTATGTATATACTCGCATTTTAGACTCTGTTACTAACTGTATATCTGTAGACTTGGTATGTCTTAAATGTCCGGTTAGGATGTATTAGAACGAAATCTAAAATGAAAATTGTAAATAAGCAATCTGTATGTAAAAAACCACCTGTATGTAAATTGTAAATAAGCCATCTGTATGTCAAATATGTCTTATATGTCTTAAATGATATGATGAATTGGAAATGGGGGACCCTGATGTAAACAAGACGAAAGTCTTTCTCTGGTCTGCATCCCCTTAACAATTGTATGTTTTGAGCTGTACTGAACTGTACCCAATATACAAGCTGTTAATAAACTTTTCAATCAATCAATCAATCAAACCATGGGACGAAACAGCCACCACAAAGTAAAACAGAGTGAATATCAATAACATCAGTTTCCAAATTGCTACACGTATGTTTAGTTAGGCATGAATCCATTATGGTTTGATCAAGTTTAAAATCTGTGTTCCTTTTCTGTAGGAGGATTTCCAGGCTGAACTGAAGAAGGCCGGAGACAAGCTGGTGGTGGTGGACTTCACAGCCACCTGGTGCGGCCCCTGCAAGATGATTGGCCCAGAATTCCATGTAAGCAGATGATTTTGACACTCAAGTCCTGTACAAGCCATAGTTTTAAAGGTCACCTATTATGCAAAACCCACTTTTTCATGTCTCTTCTACATCAACATGTGTCCCCTCTTCTTCATGTCTTTTATACATCAACATGTGTCCCCTCTTCTTCATGTCTCTTCTACATCAACATGTGTCCCCTCTTCTTCATGTCTCTTCTACATCAACATGTGTCCCCTCTTCTTCATGTCTCTTCTACATCAACATGTGTCCCCTCTACTTCATGTCTCTTCTACATCAACATGTGTCCCCTCTTCTTCATGTCTCTTCTACATCAACATGTGTCCCCTCTTCTTCATG